CCCTCCACCAATAGGAGGGTGACACAATCTTCTTGCACAGTAACTTCTCTTAAGGACTTGCACTCAAAATTATCTCATTCTTTTCCTTGGCACTGTCTCAAACAGACGTGTCTTAAACTTATTAACCCATTTGAATTGGGTAGGTTAAAATGCACATTTCACAACTTTTTATGGTGTTACATTCAAAATTTAATTAAACTACTGTATTATCAACTTAGCATCAAAATATAGTTAATAAATCGAATTTCATTATTGTTTAAGTTCTTAATTTTATATGGAAATACTTTTAAAAAATCCTCAATCTCCCATAGTATGAGAACTGTAACATTATTTTTTTCAATCTTCCCTCTTCTCTAATTTATTTACCATCATTCCAAGAACCATGGAATTTAATGTAAATTACTCATTATACTATAGCTATTACTCAGGCAACACACAATTTTTATAGCCTTCAATCTTATTTAGAGAACTGTCTATTTTGCTTCAATTTCAAACTTTATTCCCACGGGAAACATGTCAACAAGCTTAGCTGTATTTTAATGACTGTTATCACATAGTTAGAAAGCCAGAAAAATTGGGATAATTTTGGAACATTGCTGCTTTTTACATGCTATTCTATGTTCTTAGGTGCATTATTTAATTAAATAAAAAATTGTGTATTGCAGTAGTACCATTAATATAAAAAAGTAGGGTTAAGTTTCATCGATAGTTGATAGCAAAAAAAAAAAGACGACAACCCAGGTTAGAATTATATTTTTTTATTTTCATGTGTATTCTTTATTTATTATAAATGGAATTAAAATGTAAAACTTCGAAACTTATCAGATTGGATAAGATTAGATGAAGTAAAATAAAGAATAATAATAATAATCAAATATTTCATAAGGTATGCTCATGAATAGCCCGTGCATTATGTAATTCAATAGGGTAACGTGAGATACATGTTTGTTAAGTGATTTACAACTTTTGTGGCTGGTTCAAAATGCAATAAAATCAAGTATAAATAGATGTATACTGTTACAAGCTTTAAACCATTTAGCATAAACAATTTGTTACAATTTGCAGTCATTCCAGAAATAAAACATGGTAACTTAGAATTATTTCTTATTTTTTTTATGGTGGTTACAAGGTTGGTCAAATTGACTGACCCTATATACAGTTATAGCATAGAAAATAACAGATAAAATATAACGTTTTCTGAAAAAAAAATTATATTTACTTAGGGATTAGGCAAACGAAATTTGAAAATTTTTAGATAAAGAAAAATATTTTTAATCTCAACATGAAAATCACTTTGCACTTGGAGCAGTCAACACTCTGCACCATATAATTACGGACAAAATTTTAGTAAAAATACTTTAAAATTCTGATTTTTTGTCTACAAAAGACTTAAAGTGTACTGAAAGCTTGCCAAATTTGATGAAGATACATTAAGTACTCTCAAAGTCATAGTATATATATATATATATCCACCATGGTTACACGGTAGTTAAAAAGTTGTGTAAAATACACAAGCCCATTGCAGTAGGGTTAATTAATTATGTGAGATTTGCAATAGCTTACTGAACATGGATTTCATTCACGTTTAACTTTCATTCTTTACTAAAAGAAATTTTTTTTCCTGCTTAGTCATTATGAATTCTCAAATATCGACAACTTCTACTTCATCCTTTGATGGTGACAATGTTACTAACATGGGACATGTGGCTACTATAGGCCCATTGTCTGTTAAGGACAGAACAACCATTGTTCAAGGAGTTGTAGGCTCCCTCATGTATACAGGGCCTCCTCCACACATCCATTCGCTTGATGTTCTTTCTCCTCAGTTTGAACATGAGTAGGATGATGATGATTTTGACTGGTTGTTTTTCACCCACATGGATTGATTGTAGGTACTGCTTTATTAATGGAAGAAGATCCTCAACCTTCTATCTTTCTTGACATGATTTCAGAGACCTGTTCTTTTCTTTATCGTTTTCCAGTGTCTTTCAATTAATCTCATTCTCTTCTACAAAAACACATACTAAAGATTACTTTGTCTTTCTGCTTTCTCCTGATATTAAGGTCCATGCTTACTCATTTCTCGAACAAGTGCACACTTTTATTCACATGCCTTGTCCTCCTTGCATACTTGATTGTTTTGTACTGGCTTCTAGCCATTCTTTATTTCAATTCCTTGATTCCCAGTATTTGGAATCTCTTTTACTTGCTAAGGGGCAAGCCATTTAACTTCTGTTTCACTTTCTAGTGCCCAATTTTTAATCCTTCATCTCCTTCTTTCCACTCTCCTATATTGTCTCTTGTCCCTTCACCTTATTTCTGAAGCACTTCATCATGCTCTTGTACTACTACTTCTGTTCCATCCCTCTTTACTTGGTTTCTCTGCTGTTTGGTCAAGATGCTCTACTAGCTAATGTTTGCTGTTCTCACTCTTATCTCTGTAATCTTCATTGGGCTCCTTGTCTTTGCCCAGAGGTTTTCACTGGTGTTTCTGACTCTCTGGAAACCTGGGTTATGGTTACCCAGCATCAGTACTCATTGTCTTCTTTGGTTTCTTGTCTTTCTCTACCCTGCTTTTCTGTTCCTGTTGCGAGGCCTACTCAATCCATATCTCCCCTATCCATTCCTGCTTCCCATCCTCCCACTTCGTAATGTAAGGGTTGTTGCTTGTCTCATTGGTGACTGTCCTTTTGTGTGTTGCCCAGTGTGTGTCTTGCTTTGTCAAACTTTGGTCTCCATTTTTGGCCAACAGATGGGTTCTTCAGGTTCTCACACACACAGTCTATCTCTCCAATTCACTTCGTCCCCTATCATTTTCCTGCTTCTATTCCTCCTCCCTCCAACTCCATTTATCTTCATCATCTCAAGGGTGTGGTATTGGATCTCATGGCCAAAACCACTATCAATAGAATATTTACCCCCTACTATGTTTCTGTGTAATCCCTCAAAAGACCAAGGACTGGCATATGGTTATCAACTCGCTGTCTCTCAACCAATTTTTAATTATCCCATGGTTCCAAATGGAGGGTTTCTTTTCTCTCCAGTGGTTCTGTTCTCCTGGTCTTTTACGCATTTCGATAGCCTCATCATCTAGACATTTTCTCCATTTCATCCATTAGAATCAAGTTGTTCAATTCCATGCTCTTTCCTTTGGCATTGCATCTGCTTATTATGTCATGTATCCATTCACCCATCATATTCATTAATTGGAGCCAAGGTCCCATTATTACATGGATGTTTGCCTTCTTCTGACCCCTTCTCAGGAGGACTCCTTTTCTCACACCTCCATTCTTCTGCAAGATGCTACTCAGCTGGAATGGCTAATCAAGCATTCCAAGTCTTTTCTCACACCTATCCAATATTTGGTACATCTGGGCATGTTTTTCGACTCTTCTCAGTCCAGCTCAACTTTCGCCTCTTCCTCTGTGAGCAGTGAAATATCTTAATACCAAGATTTGCAATTCATATTTACATCCACAAAATCTTTTTGCTTTTGAATATTCTGGCTTCACTAAAAACACTCATTCCTTTAGGCTGTGTCCACATGCACCTCCTCCAGTCCAACCTTTATTGGGATCCATTGTCCTTGATAGTGTGCTTCCCCTCTCCTCTTCTCAAGAACTAGTCTTGGTGGCTCGACTGTGCCAATACTACAGTGTGCATCCCCTTTCTCTCTTCCCAGATTGTATTTCCATCTTTTCACAGATGCTTCTCTGTCAAGCTGGGAACTCGTATATGACCAATGACATGACTCTAGAGGTCCATTCAACATATTCAACTTTCTTGCAGTTTAATGGATACGTTCCTATTTCTTCATTTTTCTTATGGATCAGTTGGTCATGATCCATGGTTATTTCTTATATCATCGAATGGGAGGATACCCATTCCAGGACTCTGCTTCTGCACCTTGGTCTACTATTTTGGGCTCATTTCCACTTGATATGTGCTGGGATATCTGAACATGGTGGCACATTGCTTCTCTCAGCTGGCCTGGATTCTACCCATGTAATGGTCTCTCTGCCCTCAAGTTTTTCATTGGGTTTGCTCTCAGTTGGGCATACCCCTCATTGATGCCTTTGCCACTCCTCTCAGCACCAAATTCCACTCTTATGGTTTAGTTTCCTCATTCTGGTCCCTCTGCCATCAAATTGTGGGAAGTTAACTTTTTTCTACCTGAAAATGCATTTCTGATAGGTACTCACCTTCCCACTTCCGGTGCACTTTCTTTTTTGTCTTGTCTAAGAATGAAGTTACTTTGAGTGCGAGTACTTTAAGGGAGTTACTGCACAAGAAGGTTGCATTGACCACCTATTGGTGGATAGCTATTGTGGCACGATAATGTCATCATGCACTAGTGCAGTTCATATTAAACACCTGATATTTAGGTGGGAATTAGCTCAAGGCTAGTGCCACGTAAATCTCCCAGGCAGTTAGTTGCATGAAGAATCAAGCTATTCAGTATTCAGAAGTGAGTATCTTTTGAAAATACATTTTCAGTTAAGGAAAATGTTAACGTTACTGGTATGTCTTTGAAATACATTTCTTTGGTTACCTCTTGGTGTAAAATATACCTGTTTTTGTACTGTTGCAGTTTTGTAAGTGCAGAGAAAAATTCATCAATTGAAGGATAGTAAAATCTCATCAGAAAATGTTTGTTTTAAAATTCTTGTCAATAAGAAGTATATTCAAAGAAAGAAGCAACCCAAATTTTTGGAATCAAGTATTCATTGAGAACAAATAAAGAATATGATTTACATTTTTTACTTAGTTCTCATTATTGCTTATTAGTAAATAAATTTCATTCTTACTTGTTTTTCATTTTTTTTACAATTTTCCAATTTATTTATATATATAAATGTGTGTGTGTGTGTATATATAAAAGTATGTTTTATATCTGTTGTGTATCACATTGGTAGTTTTTGATTTTAATGTTAACATTATTTATTTTGAAGTCTAAATTTAACTATTATTACAGTTTCACTCATGAATTATCATTTCAGAAACAACAGAAGATAAGCAAATAAACGAGACACCAAACCATAAGGTGCCAGCTGCAGGACAGAATGGGTTAGGACAACAAACACCTCATTCCATTACAAGCACTGCCTGGCAAAGTTCCCATAAACTGATTTATGTCCAGCGTTCTGCACAGAAAGGTTACTCAGTTGGTCATTGGCCAATTCCAGAGTCATTTTGGCCAGATCTCAACAGTCCAGCTTTGGTTAGGAATTTTTAAAAATATTATATTCACTGTATTTCTAACATGTGCCCCCCTCCAATACTGAAATACAAATGATATGTAAATTTGTAAAAATATTTATACAGTTTTGTGAATATTCAATTTCCTTATTTGTGCTCCTATTTTTGTAGCAACTGTTTAAATGTACTAACAACATCATTCTGTTTTATTCAACCCTTGAAATGTTTTGTTTGATTGAGTTGATGCAGTATGAAAACAAACATTTTTGCTTAGATTTGTAGGATATTTATATACATGTGTGTGTGAGGGTTCGGATCCGCATACCACCAAACATGCTCGCCCTTTCA